AAAGTCCTGCTCTCACACACTCATTCAACACTTGATCTCAGATGCAGAGAGAGTTTTCTTCCTGAAGGGGGCGGGGCCAGCAGCACTGAAACTTCCTATTTAGAAATCAAATTCATACCAATAGTTACATGGTCACAGAGAAATAAACCATCTTTGTGGTGTTTATAGCTGAAGAACTGAAAGATCCATTCTGGAAGCAAGTGAGATTTTCATTATTTTACTGAAAAGGGCCCAACTTGGGACCTTTATTCTGGTAAATTCAATTAAGCTTAACTATAGAAACAGCATCAGGTGTTTTGGTTTTGTACGTGGTCATTAAAGGACTGGTTTTGCTTTCTCCTTCAGCAGTTTTAGAAACACTTTCACAAAACATAGTCATCATTTGTGAGCTATAGATTGGTGGTTGGTGGACTTTGTTAGCAATGGACAGAGTCAGGTTTCAGTTTTAGTTCCAGTAACTACAGACATGATTTGTATCCATCTTCTTCCAAAAAAATCCCTTAATGGTGTTCAAGAACAAAGTGGAAGCTGTTCAAATGTTCATGTGAAGAGTTTCTCACCTTAAACTGGATCAACCAGCAACAGTTTACATCGTCTGCAGGATTAGTTTTATCAGATCAGATCGGGCTCTGTGGTTCTAACATCTGTGGTGATGTTTGACTGCTGTGATTGTTGTACAATAAACTGTAAAAATTGGACAGACTGCAGCAACCGAAACCCCTTCAGAGGTTCTTAAAAAAGAGAGGATGAGAAGGTTGTTTTTCTTGAAAGGCCCCTGTGATAATAAAGGAAAGAAAAGTGACATCTTGGACTATTTTCTGCTCCTGTGAGGGAAGAAATCGATTTGTGTGTCTCCTGTTCTTTGATTGATTTCTCTTTGTGCGACTATTGGAGTACTGAGACAAAACTTCAGAAACAAACCGCAAATTACTTCTACTGTAGCTCTTTGAGACGACTGTACGATGTTCTGAACTTCCAAACATCGTCAGCAGCTGCTTTACTTTTCTTCTTAAAGCTGCTGAACATGTCATTTCCTCCTGACCGCAGGATAAAACAGCTGTTACATCTTCCAACTCAAAACTGAAGCAGAAAATGATTAAAATGCAGATTTGTAATCCCATTTCATGTCACTTGGTTTGGTTTGCTGTACCTGGATGGAATACATGATGATTCTGAAGCAGGAAACTGCAAACTCATTGGGGTCCCACAGGTGATGGTTGTCCAGGTGACTGAAAACAGACAAAAAAATTGAAATATTATTAATATTCTCAGCAGCAGAATATGATGAGGACATGCTGATGATTTTGACAGAAACAGTCAAACAGTATCATTATGTATAACTAGTAGACGGTTGCATTTTCACCAGATTTGTGTCTTATAAACATCTGGAACTTGTCATCTCCTCAATGTTTATGTGAAAGGTCTTCAAACTTAGACGAAACCCTGCACACTTATCAAACGTCAGACATCCTCATGAGGAACATATCTGTGAGTCCATAAACGATATAAAGGACGTCCAAATAAAATCTGTTCTGAGTGTTTTATTATCTGCCAATACAGAGTCCCAGTTTAATATCATTTTCTTTGATAATATGCATTATTGTAGATCAGTACCTGGTTGTTCCACCAGGTGGAGCCTGTAGAAGCCAATAATGTAATAACAACCGATAACGTAATAAATTTGCACTTTTTAAAATGTAATAGGCCAATGACGTAGTAACTGGCCAATAGCGTAATGAAAGTCCTGAACTGATTGGTCAATACCATAATAAGTTATTGGCCTGGTTAAAAAAAATAAATAATAAAAATTCTTCGCAAATGTAATAATTATTGGCCAAAAGTTATTACGTTATCGGTTCAGGACTTTTATTACGTTACTGGCCAGCTATTATGTTATTGGCCTACTACATTTTAAAAATGGCAAATTCATTACGTTATCGGCTATTTTTACATTATTGGCTTCTACAGAGCCTCTTACTGTTTAGTACTATAGAGACCACAGGAGGCATCACTCAGACTACAGGCAGTTCATGTTGGCAAGCAGAGAGCATTGTGGGAGTTTAGCTAGCAACGGGCACCACGACAAAGACTTCTGTGATGCTTAATGATGTCCGACCAGAGCTAACGTACTAACAATGAGCCGTAGTCTACTTGGACAGAGCTTCTTTAGCTAAGTGGCTAATGTAATCAAGCTGTGTTTGTGGTGAGTGGACGAGCAGCCAAGATTGTGGGAGTCTAGCTAGAAACAGCATCATGACAAAACCATTGGTGATGCTTTATGACCTCCGATTAGTGCTCATGTGTCTAAGACAACGTGCAACAGACTTCTGCAAATGTCACATCGCTTATGTCCTTGCACAAATGTTGCTTTACCTTTATGACATCTGTGTGACAGTGAACATGGACTAAAGCTTGGGCTTTACATCCTGCCAACGCTCAACAGTTTAAAAATGCCTTGAGCACCAGAAAACGGCCGCCTTTCTGAGATTGGTGTTAATATTAGAGAATCATATGGTGAGCAGTAGTGCTGTATGCTACTGATGTATCACAAATTACCCACAAAGTAGATGCACAAGTACAGTTTGACTAAATTACAGCTGACAGACAGGACAATGCCCGTCTGTAAAAGATGCTTTTCACCTGCAAAGACTGAGTGAGCGAACATGTCGAATAATGTGATTTATTTTGTGACAACAGAACCCTTTTTAGCTTTGAGGCTTGATGAGGCAGTTAAGCACAATAATCGTGTTTGAACTGTGTTATTTTTACATTTTTTTAGCTAACTTAGCGTTCATTCTGTTGACAACTCGTTACTGAAAGCTGCTAAAAATCAGACGTTCACAGTTTGCGGATAAACAGCAGCAGCTAAGAATCAGCTGAGTTCCTGCACAAACGTTTTTCACATGATCTAATGCAGAACATTGATAAAATTTCTATTAGAAATGATAATAATAAACTCGCACGTTCTGTCATGTAGTATTTAATTACTCATTTCAATACATGAATTTGGAGATTTTTGGGGGAGTCAGAGGGTTAATGGAGGTGGAACTTCTAAAATCAGCTGAATTTTACTCTGGAGACTTGAGTTCTCGTGCTTTTTTAACTAAATAACAATAATAACCAACTTCCGTGTTCTGCCATCTGGTATTCCATTAGGTTTTATGATATTTTAGGTTTTTTCTGTGGTTTTGTATCTGAATTTATATATTTAGACAGATACTCATCATCTCAAAGTAATTTATTTTCCATAAAGATTTTTGTCAAGGGCTCATGAAATGTGACTATAAACCATCTAAAAAAACAAAAAACAAAAAACTAATTAATACATAAATAAAATGCTCTCTGGTGAATAAACTACATAATGGAGGCACCATTTCTAAATGACTTTGACAAAGCTTTCTGTCGTCGAAGCTGCAGTTTCTTGTCACTTCTTGTCCAACAGATCATAACCAAGCATCAGGTGACTTCAGTCAGTTTTTTCCACCAGCAGATGTCAGACTGAGCAAAGATTCATTGCAAATTGAAGTTTATCTTTGCTCAACAATGACAAATTTTGATATTTAGCAAAATAATCATTATAATCTTGAAGCTGTAATCATGCAGCCTGAATGTTGGCGTGAATAACGTGCCGCCTGCAGACTGTCAGGCAAAGATAGACGGATATAATTAGATAATGCGGAGGAGGATCAGTTGCACAAAAAGCTTAAGAAAATCTGAGACTTTCCACCTCTGATCTCAGGGGGGGCAAACATCCAGCGCACTTAAGCTTGAGGTGAGAAACACAGCAGGTCAGAGGTTTTAAAAAACATCACGTGGGCGTCGAAGGAGATGTGCGAGACGAGCAGATGAAGAGCGACAGGTTTCCTGACCTGCAGCCTCCAGGAAAACTCATCTATAAGATGCATCTGCTGCTTATGTGAGCGAACAAACAGGCGGCAGGTCGGCTTCTTCACCCACCTGCTGACAGCCAGAGCAGAAACCAGAACACGGGAGACAGAGAAGAGCAGCTTGTGTTTCTGGTAACATCTCAGCTCAGAAAAAAAAGGAAAAAAAATCTCATATTTTGTGATGGGAAAAGATCGAAATAAGCCATGCTAGAAACTCCCGCTAGGAAGTGATGGTGCATGAAAAGGTAAAGTGTTAGGATTCTGTGTTTATAGTATTGGTGCAAAACTATCTTTTAATCGTGTGTTCATCTGACAAATCAAAAACAAAACAAAAAAGGAAAATAAAAATCACTACACGTCACATTTATTTGATGTTGCTTTAAAACAACAGCAACGAAGCAAAAAAATATATAAAAAATTGATGAAATATCTTAAATTTGAGCTTAAATTCAAGGATTTTATTTTACGTTTTAAAATGATTTTCTTGTTTTCATGGGTTTTAATGCTAAATTGTATAATTTTAAATGTGTAAATATCTGACATTAAAGAAGTGTTTTTCTATTTTAGGTTACATCCAATAGCTGGCTTCCTTATCCATCATCCACTGCTGCACACTGACAAAAGATTTCCATTCTTTAAATTCACAGTATTAAAAAAAAACAACAAAAAAACACACACAAAAAACACATTTAACTAGCATGATCTGTCATCCTATATTCCAATACATTGTGCATTTTTGCAAGAAAGATGTCTTTCAAACCCACTGATGGATTTTGTGACTTAGAAGGTTAATGGTGCTGTAGCCCTGATTATGAAATCAGCAGAAGACTGGAGTTTCAGATGACAATTATAGTTTTATTTTTACACTAAGGTCCTGTTGGATTTTTGCTGTCAATCTGTCTTCCTCTTACTTTACTACGTTGTTTACTTCTGTTTTCACTTAAAGTGCTCGGTCAGGTCTAGAGAAGGGTCACATCCACCACATCTGGACATGTGAAGAACTAGATCTTTACTTTTATCCTTATTTTATTTCTTGTCTTGTTTCGTTATTATGTTTAGGTCATATTTAGCTGCTGTAACGTGGATTTCCCTGGTGGGAGATCAATAAAGTTGCTCATCTTATTATTGGGTTAAAAAAAAAAAAGAAAAGAAAAGAAACCACACCCCTTAATATGACAAAGCTCCATTTCCTATGCTTCCAGGGAGAAGACTCCACTGGAGATTTAATATGCACTTAGTCACATGACCGAAGCAGGTTATCGAGGACGCTGTCTATTTCTTTTTACAAGTTCTTCACAAATATCAATATTTTATGCTCTGAAGATTTGAGGCATATCAGAGACGGTTGGGCAAACATTGTTCTGAACATCTGGTAATCTGAGATGGAACGACCTTATTGTGTTTCAGTGTGTCTCACGAGTTGTTGTGATTTTAAAATGTGCTTTAGAAAGAAATCTGACTCGAGTCTTGTTCTGTGTTTTCTGCAGAAGCAATTCTTTAACAGCTGGTTAGACATAGAAACAAATCCTTGGTTAAACACGACAAAAAAAACAACAAAAAAGTCAGTGGATCTGGGAAAAGGAGCTCCTCTGCTACCGTCAAAAGGCATCAGTACAGTTTACTGACTCAGCAAAGCTTCCAGTGTTGATGAAATGTTGTTTAAACCATCATGTGGTATCAACAGTGAACTCATGATGAAGCTAATCAGGATTCTGTCTGATCAGGTCAGCTGGCGATTGACTGATCGATTAGTTCTTAAGCAGACGTTGTTTTGTGCTCACCGTCTGTAACAAAAGAGGCAAACTGGGCGACGTGAGGAGAAAAAGCACAAAAACCAACCGACGGCATAAAGCTGGTGACTGTACCGCTGATTGATAATCACCAGCATCTGACACTGAGTACGAGTTTGATATTGATCAGCTGGATTCATGTTGCTATTATCCACATCCTGTGGCGCTGAGCACATCCATTCACCAATTTCCTGCTGCAACATATCGACTAAAGTCTCATTTTAGCATCCGAACGAAAACGTCAGGTAACGAAAGCGAAACCATCCGAGCATGATTCAGTTTGAACACAGTCAGAGCAGCCATTCGAAACCGAAACAATGAAATTAGGAAACCAGAGCAGGAAGACAGAAGGGAGGAGGCAGAGGAGAGCGATAAAGAGGATTGGAAGAACAGTTCACCAAAATGACGTCAATACAAACCCCCAAAACCGTCCCTCCCCCCATCCCCCCACCCAATAACCCCAATCCCTGCTATTTATAGTCTGAAGACGCTCCCCTTCCTCCTCCACCTCCCTGCAGGAGCTCTGCAGGAAGAAAACTGGTTTCACTCTCA